CAGCGAGAGAGAGAGAGAGAAACAGAGCGGGAGAGAGAGAGAGAGAGAGAGAGACCGAGAAAAAAGAGATAGACATATACATATATATATATATATATATAACAAAAAATAAAAACAGAAGGAGAGGGAGCATGAGAGAGAGCGACAAAAAAAACAGAAGAGGCGAGGCAGAGAAGCAGCACACGTATGCGGCGTAGGTTCTCGCCTCTGCGGCGCGGGGCCCTTGCCTCCGGCGCCGCCCGAGAGAGCCGTGCCCTCTCCGGCCACGGGACGATGCCTTGCGGCGGCCGCGCCTCGCGGAGGGCGTCTTCTGGGTGGGGGGCGTCCCGGCTCCTTCCGCGACTGTCCGCCAGAGAGCCGAGTTGTGACCAGGACAGCCACGGAGCAGCGTTGGGAGGGGGGTGGGCTCAGGCCGGGCATGTCCGCCTACAGGCGGATTTCGGAGTGAAACATGATAAATCATATTCCAAAAACATATTCAAAAAAACAGATTCAAAAACATATGCAATATTGGGAAGAACCCCCCCCCCCCCAACAAAAAAAAAACGAAAAATCGTCCCCAGATTTTGCTTACTTGTTGAAAATACTCCCTGTAGAGGGACAGGCCCGATTTAAGGATAGGCTGAAGGAGGGAGACGTCGCCAAATCGTCGATAGATCGAAACAAGCGCGTTCCACCCGCAGAGTAACAACTCGCAAAATGGCCCAGATCCGCCGAAGGGGATCTACGATACATTACATCGAAGCAGACACGTGCGTTTCCGGACGTTTGCGAGTAGACGCTTTGCGAGTAGTGGAACGCGCCCAGTGAAGACCGGCGGCATTCAACCCAAAAAACAACCGCAAGCTCCTCGACAAGGCGAGCCATCGGGCCCGTCTGACGATCACTGGGCGAGTGTGGGTCGATGCATCCACCCCCTGGGTTGACCTATCCCCCAGTACGTTCCCGAATGCTTTTCGGGTCATAACTCAGCGCTCTGGCGGCCATTCGGGACAATCCGGGCACCCCCGAAACGCCTGCGGCGAGGCGCATCCGCTGGAACGCACCCCGAAGCTGGAAAGCCGACGAGAACGGACGAAACATCCGAAAACATCGACCCTCGAAAGCCCGAGGCGTCCCCCGCTGGACCTATGCCCCCGAAAACGCGTTTGCAACGATTCGCGATAACGCTCGCTACCTGGCCCCCCCCGCCCCGTCTCCAACAGTAATGTCCCGAATCGCGCCGGCCCCGTCGAGGTGTGGCCAGGGGTAGCTGGTTCCCAGAAAAAACCAACGCGAATCGTGCCGGCCGTCATCGCAATAAGCATTACCTACCGACGACGGGATCCACATATGTGAATATCATAAACCCTGTAACGTCTCGCTGCGGACCTCGGCCTGTGAGTATTTGGATGTGAGAGCGAGTCCGCGTAGACGACAGGCGCGACAACGACGACGACAGTGACGACTTCAGTGACGTCCTCCTCGCTGGACATTTTCAAGAGACAACAAGGAATCACTAGTGGAAGAGCGAAGGGGAATTCCTCTTGCGGTCCTCACGCGGCAACTCAGGCAAGCGCGCATGGCGCTGCTACACCCGCTGTCAAATGTGTTACTCGAGGCGCCTGCTGGTATCTGCGGTGCCCAAATGCCACGCCGGCTATATCGCAGTAGCCACCTGCGTCCGAGCCTGAGTGCGAGCGAATATGAGCGTGACTGATCTGAGTGCGAGCGAGCGGGAGTGCGAGTGAAACTGGGCACGATTGAGTTTGAGCGCAAGCGAGTCTGAGCGCAAATGAGTATAAGCGCGAATGAGTCTGAGTGTGTGTCTGAACGTGAGAATGACGAATACGAACTTGAATAGGAATGAGTCTGAGTACGAGGTAGCCTGAAGAAGGGCGGGTCGGAGGGTGGGTGAGTCTGAACCTGACGGAATCTGAGTGTGAGTTTGTCTAGATACTAGTAAATCTGAGCTTGTGTGCAGAATTGTGAGTGAGTGTGTACAGTCTGAATATGAATAAGTCTGAGTATGGGCGAATCGGAATGTGATGAGTAAATCTGACTGAGGGAGAAGTATTGGTCAGGAGGTCTGACTGAGGATCAGGACAAGGAAAATCAGCGGGGCTGAAACGGGGAAACCGCCTGAGACATGCCCACAATCTGGGCGCGAGCGGGCGAGTATCATACCCCATGGCGGTTCCCTTTTGGGGCGCTCAAATGCCACGCCAAGTACATCGCGGTTTTCAGTGGACCACCAAAACAAATCCGCCGACCCTGACGGCGTGTGGGAGAGGCTTTTCCGTCTTCCCCACAGCGTCGTCGCCTCTTCTGCTTTCCGAGGGCTCCCTACACAACTCCACGCAAAAATTGAACAACGTCGTCCTTCAGTCGAAGGGAAGCCCCTTCCCTTGATCCCTTCCCCGCGGGGGGGGGGAGGTCCCGGGGCAACTCCCAAGGGGGGGGTCCCCCCTCGGATACGCAGCCCCCCGCCTCTGATCCTCCTGCGTGCTCCGTTGGCCCT